ATCTATCTATCTATCTATCTATCTATCTATCTATCTATCTATCTATCTATCTATCTAGTGTGTATGTATGTGTGTGTATTTGTGTGTGTGTGTGTGTGTATGTATGTGTGTCTGTATATATACACACACACACACATACATACATACAGAAAAAAAGAGTCATGCAGAAAAAAAAAAAGAAAATTTTCTGTCCGTATCACATTAAAGAGGTTTTACACCTATATGTCCTAAGAGGTGGTGTTGGTTTTTTATGAAATTTCAAATTCTGTCCTTTCTCTCAGTGTCCCTCCCTGATTTTTAAGCTCAGATTTTTTTTTCCTTCCAGCAATTTGTAAGTAAATCAACAATTGTATCTTTCAGCCTTTGCTGAATCATTTTTGCTGTGTCTTTAATAATTTTGTGGAGTCTGCGTGGAACATCTCTGAGCATATAATTACATTTTTCCCACTTTGATTGCCTCCAACAGGGAAAGCATTTAAAGGAGAAACTAAGGGTGAAATTGTTGGGTTTAATATTTTCCTTATGATGCTCCATGTTTTTATCCAACATTGTCTGATAATGTCCACTTTACCAAGTAGACTAGAAACAAAACACAACCAGATAAACTAATTTTAGTTTATTGTGAAGCTGCATTAATCAAATATTGTATGTCCAAAAGTACAATTCTTCTGCCGTCTCCTTTACAGCCCGAAAATGTAGGTAGGGTCCTTCCTGAGCCTCTTCTTCCACCCACTATGCAGCGGCGGGCTGTGCTGTCTCTTATCCGAGCGATCCCTAGCAGCATCTCTTCCCCCCATTTCCCAGGGTTTTTCCCACACACCAGACAATATGTCCTTCTCAGTTTTTACCTTCTCATGTATCCCAGTACCATGAATACCAGTTAGTGGAGAAGATGCCAGATCAAGGCATCCCTTGGTTGACAGGTGTTGCCAGCAGGAACTACCAGGCAGCTACCCGAAGGCAGGAAGACAGTCCAGAATATTTAGACTCAGAGGGCTTCTGGGGGACAATCTTTGCAATTGCCAACATTAACCTCTCTTGGCTGTGCCCAGCTGAGGGGAAGGAGCTGGAGGATTAAGGGGATTGAGTGTAAAGTAATGCAGAAGGAATGAAAAAGGAGCAACGGAGACAGTGTTGGTGATACTGAGAGAATGAAACGGGATTGCATAATAATATATGAAGGAAGAATTTTAGGTAATGAACCACTAGTTCTCCTCTAATTAAATCTTTATTTTTTTTTAATCCCCGCAGTTCATTCTGCTGCCAAGGACTTTCCTTCTTCTCTCCCACCCAAATGCTAAACAGGTACCCCATGGCTTTATTGAAAATTAGATGTGGGCTCCCACCTGCTGTGATAGAGATTTACAGGCTTCTTCTCATTCCAATTACACAAATTCAACCTTCTGTGACTCAATCAACTTCCAACTTTGGAATTGTCTCTGGAGATGGTGAAACGTCCTTTCACTTTATCCGAATAGTAAATAGTACTTGAATCGTTCCATATATGTCCAACCCATTCCAGTCCTTTTCCTGGATATTGTCTCGTCCAGTACATCCAGTAGCTGCTGAAGGAGAATCCAGAGGCTTGGGAGGAGAGACAGAGGAACTCTCTGGGTCTTTTCACATACCCTCCAGACTCCACCAACAGGACCTCTGACTGGACACCTAAAATGAAAGAAGTTTCAATCAGCTCTCTTGCATAGAAAAAAGAAAAAATAGGAAACAATTCTACAGGGAAGAATCAATTACCTCTGAGGACTTCTAATAAGGAGACCAAGGTTATCCACAGGGTCATTTTTGCTCTCTCTAATGAATGGAGGGAATTGACAGGAGAGGATTCAGGTAAGTGCACAAACTTTGTGTTCATGGGTGTGGTCTGAGAAGGCAAACCATCTGGCTGTTTTAAAGAGCAAATTATTTCTTGATTTACATAGAGCTTTGCGTAAAAGAGCCTTTAAGGGCATTGATGACATAGATTTCCTTGGACACAACTTCCATCTGTGATTTTCAAATCACATTCCAGTCGAAAGTAAAGTGAGGGCAGGGATTCCCCCCCCCCTTCTGTAAGTTAATAGGAGAAAAGCAGGTTTATTTTGTAGTAAGTAAAACAAAGACTTTGAGAATGTCACCAGTTGTCAAAAACAATTCAAGGTAACAGAGAATAAACTTAGGGTTAGTGTCTTCTCTACAGAAAACTGTTAGAGATTGCATTTATAAAGGCTAGCAC